TGCTCATAGACTAGACTGTGTACTGAAGATACGGCATTCGTGCAAAGCCCATGACTGCCTCGATGAAGGCCAATCTTCGATACTGGACCTCACCCGCTCAATGCTGGTGGCCCTTGCTAGGTGAAAGTTGGCTGCGGGAAAAGATCCCGCAGCCAGTCAGAGCCCGTAGAAGGGCGGCGCTCGGATCCCAAACCCTCTCCAGGTGCTTAGGTAAGTGGGTATCGGGTGCTGAGACTTTGCTATGCACACAGTGTCTTGTGTGCCCCGTACGCAGGGCCGCATCTGCCCAAAGATCTCGAGGATCAGCCCAGTCCCGCCAGTCTGTCGGTCAAATACTCTGACAACTGGCCGCTGGATGTGATTCTAGTCCAAAAAGACTGATTCGTATCGAGGTCTCGAGCAGGTCAAATAGCTACCTGAGGAAGCTCATCAGCACGAAGGCTGCTGTATTTCTTGAACTACCAGTACTACTCTTCAGCTGTACTGGGTCGCGATCCACAGCAAGCGCAGACTGCATCCGCATCGGGGCTGCTGACCTACCTCTCGAACTGCACCGCCAAGAGTTGCTCAGATTAGCATAGTTCAGAACCTCGTTTCGACGTTGGAAACCAGAGCCTTCGCACCCTGACGAGACTGCCATCCTCAACGCTCGTGTTGTCTTGCCGTCCACGCGTGCGCCCACGAACTCCCCGATCACACGAATCCGTCCTAGCCGAGACCATCCACACACCCTGCCCGCTGGCAACACTCCTTAGCCGTACCTGCAATGACCAACTATCGCAAGCACCGGGCCAGACGTGGCACCCAACGAATTTCCGAGAGAGAACAGCCGGACCATACCCTCAAGACCGACTGACAGAAGTTCCGCAAGCAGTGAAAGCGTGCGACACCACAGTAACACTGCTTAGCGTGAGCTTCGCAGGCCGAGAATACGTACGAATCTCGACGGTGAACCGAATGCATGAAATGTGGGCGGATCCCTTGGTAGAGGACCCTGTACCGTTGAGCTTTTGCAGTTGCGTCCCCGCACACTCAGGGATGACTTGGAAACCCCGGAGCCGGATCATGGAGCGCGCGGAAGGTGAGATGCCAACAAAGGTGCCAGCTCAGGCCGAGCCTGATAATGGAGATTCGGCATCGCAGCCACATTTCACAAGCGCAGGCGCCATCTAGCTGATATTTCCTATTATCTCACGGTCACAGATTTGCTTCTGCACTTCATCTGCGGACGCCACCGGCGCGATCTGGACACCCGCTGTCGTCGAGGGTCCCAAGTTCCTACGAGCATCTTTCAAAGCCAGATTCGCCAACTGCGTACCACGGCTTACGAGCAGCAGTCCACCGACTGACGAAATGGCAGCAACTTCACGAACACTGAACCGTCGCGATCGTACCCATTCTTAGAACCCGATTCACGTACACGGCCGAATTCGATCTGCAGGATTACCATGTAAAAAGCCTACAAATCCTTGTTTGGTGACCGCGCTTGCATATTGTAGGTGTTAGCATACATCGCATCAGAAGATTCAGAACACGGCGGACGAGAGACATACCGACAAGCGCCATTACCGTTCCTGTCTATAAATGATTTGCAGACAGTCGATTCGTGATCGATGTTTATTGTGGCTGACGGCAAAAACACGCCAGCAGCTTCGTTGGGTGCGTTCAGTCGAAAAAGACGTAGCCAGGTATAATTAGAACATCTGCGGAGAGACGTTCGTAGGGACTTGGTGTCAGGAACGGAGTAGGAAAAAAAATAAGGCGGCCGAATACAGCGCTACAAGCATAGCATATGCTCTGCAAGATTTTGAGCGCGTTACGTGTCTACGTAAGACTACATGCAGCTCATCGATCGCACGGCAGTAGACCATACACGGGTGCGGAAGGATCGGATTCTAGTTGCAAGATCGGGTTTTAGCGAAACCGCATGGACCATGATGGCATTTCTTAGCCACCACGCAGGCAGCCTTACACAACCGCTCGATACGCCCACTTATATCCGCAAGAGACTTTCGAAGACTGGCATGCGATGAACGGAGACGAATGCTTCGGGGCGAGATTGGTCCAGCGAAAGCATGCTCCGCGGACCAGTCGGTCCTACCACTGCCTCGCGCTAAGTACCACCCTGTGGTTTGTCAGTGGGGATAACTCCCCCGCGGGCCTCTTGCCACATGGATCCAGAGTATCGGATCAGCTCAAGTAGGTATGGCTGATCATAGCCTAAACGTAAATTCAACGTCCACCCATCAAGAGCAGATGAAGAGACGAGCGCTCATGTCAGGAGAAACTTTACAGCATCATACACGGACATTATTGCATCAGGGTGTGATCATCAGGGGACAGCAGAACCCATGTTGTAGTCTTTGGCGCTTAAAACGCGTTTTGTCGCGTGGATAGGCAGGCTTGTACGATTGTGGAAGCATTGGCAACGGCAACGTGAGCGTCAAGACCCGCTTGCCATGTGATTGTAATCCGCGACTGCACGTTGGGGTATGTTCTACACGCACAAAGTATTGTTTGCAGCAGTGTCATACTCCAGACTACTAATGATCAGCCAGTGTGCATGTGACGATGCGCCGATGAAGCCCAACCCTGCGGCTCAACTTCCCTCAACGGTCGCTCGCCTTTCCAATCAACGCCGCAGCGCGATAAGAAGATGCAACAGTCATGGCAGCTATCGACAATATATGGGGAGGCTTCTTAGCCCTAAGCCATAACAGTTCCGTGATCATTTGACGGCCTAAGCGATGTATCGATGGGCAACCAGAGGCGTGAAGACTCGCAAGTCATTTGGTTAGTCCATTAGTCCTCAAGCAAGTATACTCTGTCAAGTCTGTCTTCCTTCGTCGTTCTCTTTCACCTTCACTTTTCGACCCCCGCGTTCCATACCTCGAGTAGTACCCTAGAACGGGGATACTTGGGCCAATTACGAGACCGCACCCGCGCGCTCGCACACCGGCTCACTGCACCGAGTGACCACAGCAAACACGTTCTATCCTCGGCGGGTCCTCACCTCACTTTCCTCAGTCACGCTCACGCTCCGTTTGCATTGATCCGCTCCGGCCTGTGCTTCCCTTTTGTTTATTTCTTCTATTCTTTCTCCCCTCCCCACCTACTCTTGAACCCACACAAGAAAACACCGCTCCGACCATCGCCATGGCTGTGTTCAATCTCTTCAAGATGCTCGCTCTCCTCCTCATCAGCTTGGTCGCAATCACCTCTGCTTCACCCATCGCTGCTTCCAACGAAGTATCAACTGCTGGTCTCAACTGTCCGGCTTGCGTAACCTCGATTGGCAAAGTTTGCAAGGACAGGAAGCTCAGCGAGTACAAATGCGACACCCTGTGGTGCCTCAGTCTGGTAAGTCTTCACCCGCCTTCTTGCTTGCATTGGCGAGATGAGTTGAGCTGGGCGAAGGTAAGGTCTAACAACATGTAGATGTGCCGACAGTGCAACCCACACTGTCCACCCATCGGGGGTGCTGGCGTTGGTTCAGCTGTCGCTGGACCCGTCGATGTCTCTACTGATGTCTCGGACACTGTCTCCACCAACGCCTTGGTCTCTGCCATTGACGCGGCCGTTGCCGACATCTCTTCTACTTCTGTGGCTCCAGCGGCTAAGCGCGACGACTCACTCGCCATTCCCGGTGATGATGTCTTTGCTGACGCCAATTGCTACCGATGTATATACATCAACCTGTTCTGCAAGCAAAACAACCTCACTGAAGAAGAATGTCTACCCATACGGTGCAATGATCCCGACGTAAGTCTCTATTCCGGTGCGCTATCTTCTGGATGGCGCGCCAACCTCTCATAGCCGTCTTGATTACGAGAGAAAATAGACTGACAGCCTCATAGTGCAACGTCTGCAGCCGTAGTTGCCACAAGACTCAGCAGGTCGATGCATCAGACCCCGCCACCATGGAGGGTGTTGTTGCCGACATCTCTGCTACTTCCGTGGCTCCAGCGACTAAGCGCGAAGAAGCTGCACAGAAATGCGTCTGGATCTGCTTCCATGTGACGTGCACGCGCCAGTGTACCGACGTCGCTGGGGTAGCTGCCTATGCAGCCAGTGGCGCGATTGTCATCGACGAGACCGAGCTCCATGCCGACACGTCCGTCTCCGTCACTGCAAACCATACACAGCTGGAAAACAACGAGCATGTTGAGAATGCTTTCCTCTACCATTGCGACTTGACCTCTGGCAATTGCTGGACTGAGACCGTTCTTGAGCCAGTAGCTGGGACCGAAACCGCCATCGAGAACATTCCCGACATTCCACACAAGGTCTGCCGCGAGATTTGCAACACGGACAAGTCGCTCTGCGGACTGGTCTGTGATGAAGAAGCGAAGAAGGAGACTGCGATCAACGACCCCGTTTCAAAGGCTAAGATCAAGTGCCACTGGGAGTGCTATTTCGGTCAGTGCTGGGCGGTCTGCATGCCCGACATGGGCGGCGCCTCCAGCGACTCCAGCGACGTATCATCCGCCAACGTAGCAACAAACTTCAAGCCATGTCGCTGGGAGTGCTACTTTGGTCAGTGCTGGACTTGCTGCCCTCCTCCTTGATCGCCTGTCCAGGTTCACTAATCGCGCCACGCGATTTCCGTGGTAAGATATAAGTCTTACCCCACTTTACAGGATACAACTGACCTCTACTAGAAGCTTGTTCTACACGGTACTTGAGACATGGAATGAATTGCAGGGAAATTTCGGACGCCTTTTACAAGTACGCTTGGGGTATAGATTAGATCTCGTCCACAGTAGCAATGGAACTCAGGCTTCACACCTCTGACTCGAGAATACAACATGATGGTGATGTGCAAGCCAGCTGGTTTCTGCCTCTTGATGTCGCTGATGCAACGGGATAGTTCATTATACTGGCTGAACAATCATAGCCAACGTTTCTCATCTACCCTCTTTCCCATATGGTACAAGTTGTACTACAACATGATATATACATTCGTTTTTCACGCGACAAAATCCCTCTCTTGTTTATGTTTACATGCCCCGCGCCTTCAGGAATGTAGCAATCTCGGCAGTGTGATGCCCCTTGACAATGACATGTTGTGTTACGCTGTTGATCTTGACGTCTTCGTTCTTCTTGTTCAAGAAGACTCTCAGCTCGTCCCTCAAAGCAGATAGGTCGCCGGTGACCTTTCGTACCGTCGTCAGATGCAAGTTGCCTCCTCGCTTGTAGTCGGTGTAGATGGGCAGGTTCTTGTTCGCAGATCTCGAGACAGCGTACTTGGGCGGTGGTAGGGATAGTTTGGGGGCACGCGGTGTCTTTGGCTTCTTGGCGACCTTCTTCTGGAGCGTCGATGTTGTGTCGGCTGTGTCTGAGGGCGCGGTCGAGGGCTTGGGCGCGACGTCATCGGCCTTTGCGGGCTTCGCTTGCGAGGGTGTCTGTTCTGGCTTGTTGTCGGACCGGGGGTGCTTGGAGGGCAGTGTCGGCTTCTGCTCGGGTGGTTGCGCGCTGTCGCCTTCGGTGAGAGACTCTGCTGCGGCAAGGTCGGCGGCGCGTTGAGCTTCTTGGGGGGATGTCGGGTGTTGAGAAGAAGCGTTGGGTGGGAGGGAAGGCTGTACGATGGGCTTGGAGTCTGGCGGGGGTTCTATTGAGGGTCAATTGGTGTATCTATTGTACTAGAAGAATGCATAGCTTACGCTCAGCCTGCCATCTTGCCGCTGTAGAGAAGCGGAAGTGCTGCCGGCATGCGATGGCTCTTGGGGCGGCCAATGGGCGCAGGAGCGGGACGAGAGACTGCAAGCGAGGCATTGTGAGGCAGCGGTGCCGGTGAAAGTATTCTACCACGTGTCCAAGGGTCGAGGGATGTGTCGCGAGGGCCGTGGGGTGAATGCTGCGGCCATGGTCTGCGGCTCAACTCCAGAAGTAGCGCCTGGGGTCCCTCGCGCGCACAGTCCGGCTGCTTTTTTCGTTTCCGAGCCCACCCCACCACGCTCGACATCGCCATAACTCCTCCCACCACAACCAACCAACCACCCACCATGGCGGACTCAGCGGCAACCGGCGCAAATGTCGCCGAGCAGTACTCGCTGCTCCCCAAGCTCATGCCCAACCTCGACCGCCATCTCGTCTACCCGCTCCTCAACTTCTCCAGCGATGAAGACGCCGACCAGACCGTCGAGCAGAAGAAGCTGCTGCTCGAACTGCTCAAGCCCACCAACATGACCGACTTCGTCGGCCAGCTGCATCAGGAAGTCCACGGCCTCGACGACATGTCCGACGAGTTCAAGACCAAGCGCGACGAGGTCCTCAAGAAGCGCGACCAGCTCGAGGAGGCCACCAGCAAGATCAGCGGCCTGCTCGACGACGAGAACGTCGTCACCAACCTGCGCAGCGACAAGCAGCAGAACTTGGCATACCTGAAGGAGAGCCACGGCGTCGACTTGGACATGATCAACCAGCTGCTCGAGTTTGGCCAGTTCCAGTACTCGTGCGGTGTCTACCCCCATGCCGCTGAGCTGCTCTACCGCTTCCGCGTTCTGGTACGTTTCTATGAAGCCCTGCGGCATACTGGTTACTAACGTCAGCAGACCACCGACGGCGACAAGGAACGCGAGGCCACCTGGGGAAAGCTCGCCTGCGAGATCCTCTCCGTCAACTGGGACTCGGCCATGGAGGAGATCAACAAGCTCAAGGAGATCATCGACACACGCCTCTTCAACAACCCCCTCGCACAGCTCCAGCACCGCACCTGGTTGATCCACTGGTCGCTCTTCCCCCTCTTCAACCACGAATCCTCGCGCGAAACCCTCACCGACATGTTCTTCTCCCCCGCTTACATCAACACCATCCAGACCAACTGCCCGTGGATCCTGCGCTACCTCGCTGCTGCCGTCATCACCGGCCGTAACCGTGGCAGGAACTCGAACCAGTACCAGAAGCAGCTCAAGGATCTCATCAGGATCGTGCGACAAGAAGGCTACGAGTACAATGACCCTGTCACCGACTTCATCAAGGCTCTGTACATCGACTTTGACTTTGAGGAGGCGCAGAAGAAGCTCAGCGAGACGGAGGAAATTCTGAAGAACGACTTCTTCCTGTTGGGCGCCGCAGACTTGTTTGTCGACTCGGCGAGACATCTCATCTCGGAGAGCTACTGCAAGATCCACCAGAGAATCGACATCAAGTGAGTCATTCTACAATTCTCGGCGCTTCCAAAACCGTACTAACTCACGACTAGGGATCTCTCGACCCGCCTCGGTCTTTCACAAGACGAGGGTGAGAAGTGGATCGTCAACCTCATCCGCGACACTCGCGTAGACGCAAAGATCGATTACCAAGCCGGCACAGTCGTCATGAACCACCCACCACAGTCCGTCTACCAACAAGTCATCGAGCGGACAAAGGGAGGCTTCTTCAGGACACAGGTCCTGAGCGCCGCTGTTGCGAAATGAGCGCTACACTTACAGCCGGTCAACTCGTTCGTTTCATAATACGGGGGGAAGCTAACAGCTTCTGGGGAGGCGGGGAGACTATGAGGGGGGACACGATGACGATCATGAAAGGGATGAAGGAATGATCGAAAAGTCTGGGTTCGGCATTTGGCGCTTTACGAATCAGGCGTGGGCAAGGCTCGCGCACTGCATGCATGGGTATTGGCGTCCTACCATGGCTCTAAAAAGGGCCGTCTGTGTTCCTGGGCAACAGCGCATAATCGCTGTGCAAGTAGTGAATGCGAAATGAGTAGTATCCAAGAATCAACATCAGCAATGAAACAACACTATATTCACTTTTTCCTCAACCTATCATACACTTCCAGTCTACTCAATAGACTTGTTCTCACCTTTGCTCTCCCCAGTCCATGCCCACAGATTAAGCATAGTATCTAGGCTCGTTAAAGACATGATACCTATGCCCTCTGACACCTTGGCCCTTGAACAGCTCCGGGAACCTCAACCCAGCAGGCACCTGTGACTCATGCAGAAGCTCGTTTCCGTTCTCCGGCTCGCCAACGACGAATTTACCAACCTGCATCACACGATTAGCACACTGATCTGACGCTAGGAAACCAGAAGGAAAACTTACCTGGAGTTCGGTATCCGTGATGGTATGTCTGGAAACACGCGCATATCCACTCCTCTTCAGGCCCTTGTAGAGAATGTACTCGCACCACCTGTCCCAGTCTGACGCGTCGATATCCTTCATACCGCTCTTCTCACCCACGTACGTGTTGTAGTTGCCCTCGCCGGGTTTGATGACGAGATACGAGAGGAGGATGGCGGGACGCGGCGTGGCTTTCATGCGTTCAGCCAGGTATTCTGATTGTAGGCGGCGATCCTCGGGGTCCTCTTCCTGGCCCGAGTGGAAGACGAAGATGTCAATCATCTCACCGTAGGCGTCGATGGTAGCTTCAATGGCCGGGGCAAGCTCGCCGACAGGCGAGGGGAGAAGATGATGGGTTGAGTTTACGATGGGGAATTTGGAGAGCAGTGCCGAGCCCCATGTGTGCTTGTTGGGGCCTGGGCCGAAGTCGACGTACATGCCTAGATCTTCGGCGAGGAATTGCGTTGTGTCGCGATTGCCCATGATGATGCGCTGCAGATCGCTTTCGAGGAGTCCGATGACGTCGACTTCCATTTCCTTGATGAGGTCGCGCATGCGGTACTCTGAAGACCACATATCGTTGTCAAGGGAGAAGTGGATGGTCCAGATGCCAGCCGTGATGGACTTAGTCTCCGGGTGATACGGCTTGTAGTCGTAGGACGGGAAGCGTAGGTAGGCGGTGGCAATGGCGATCAACTCTAGAGCACCTAGAACGTAGAGGTAGTAGGATCGTTGCCTGGTGGCAGCTGCCGTGATGACCGCCTTGCCCTTGTAGCTCTTGAGTGCTGGCGGCTGAGCGGAGACACTGAAGATACCGGCACCGATCTGAAGCATCATGGCTGTCATGACCCAGTCTGTGTGCTCGCGAACAAGCGGTCCACCCGGAACGAACGCGTACGCTACTACCCAGACGTGGAACAGAACCATTAAGTTGTACACCAAGAATCCGAGACCGAATGTGCGGCCTGGTGAGTGGCGCGCCGCATGGGCAATGAGAACAGGTGCTGCTGCCATGGTGTATATGGCGAGAACCAAGGCTCCATAGAAACCAGACCAGTGGCTGCTAGTTGTCAAAACGGCAGCACCGATAGAGCCTACGCCGTAAAAGGCCCATGACCTTGAGAGGTTGGGCGCAAACAGACCGACCATAAGACCAAGACCCATGGCTAGGAGAGTCAGGGTGCCGTGGGGTACAGCCAGCGGACCCCGAACAGGGTAACCTTCCCATACCCAAGAGATCATCGTGCTCGAATCGGAGAGAAGCGAGTGCATGGCGAACATGACACCCGCTAGGCCAAAGCTCGCAAAGACCGAAGACCCCTTAGTAGGGCCTTGAGCTGGGACATCTGCGCCAGAACTGGCGGTAGATCTGGTCGATATGAGCATCGAGATGAGAGCTACTACGAACCCAGTTCTGTTCCATCCGCCGTTTGCCTCGTGCATGATTGGCCAAATTGGGTTGTTGGTCCAAAAGGCAAACTTCGCAATGCTAGAGGCGATCAGACCAATAGCAAAAGCGGAAATGCGTGCTTCAAGGCGGTGGGGTTGAGACCGTTCGGCATAGAAGGTGGCAGACCATGCGATACATGACATTGACAGACCGAAGCCAACGGCAAAGAGTCGGTTGACGGGTGTCTTAGCAAGAAACGCGAGAAGTCCGGAGAGCGAGAGCAGGTGGAAGAACCAGACGTAGCGAGTAGCCAGATAGCGGAGGGGCTTGATGCCGAGGAAGAAAGGAGTGACAGTGCACATGACCAAGGCCTCGTAGCCAGAGATACCCATGTGCCAGAGAGGGAAGTCTAAATATGATCAGCAGACATACCGATCGCACAGGGGAATTCGAACATACACCAGACGCAGACACCGAGTGAAGTCAGCATGGACCAGAAGACAAACTACAGAGTAATTAGTCACGTCCAATGACACCACGTTTTGCCACTTACGCCGTTGTACACGTCTGCAGCAGCATAGATGAGTCCGAACCAAGAAAAGGCACCCGAAAAGGTCGCGCTCATTTCCTTGTTTTTTCTGCTCCTGTCAGTGACGCGCAGAGCCTCGGGAAGCAGTAGTGACTTACTCCTGGATACTGTCGGATGTCGACTTGGAGCCCGCACTACAAGACATGTCTTATCAGAAAGTGTCCATAAGAAGTATAGATTCGTGATGCGTGTCTATCTATATTGGAAGACGAGGAACGTACAGGCGAGATACACCTCGAACATCCTTTATGACAACCTCCAAGTGCTGGAACTCGATCATCGTGACGGCATCGAAGCCTACATCGAGCAAGACCAGTGCCCATTCGAAGAAAGCGTAGATGGTATATGCTGTGAAGACGTTAGCGATGGCAAAATAGTAGAATTGTCAAACGTACCTCCAGCCACTCGGTGCACCTTGTGCTGGATGAAGAAGTAGATCAACGGCACCAGAGTTCCGAAGAAACTGCCAGCAAGGACCTTTCGGTACTTGAGGGCAGTGGGGTTCTTAGGGCTCAGAGCGACACAGCCCAGGGTCCACGGTAGCGTCGCAACAAGGTATGAAATCATGAAAATGTCGTGCCAGTCGTGGTCGTCGGTAGAAGTCACATATGTCCATCCTCCACAGGTCAAGGTCCGAAAGATGCCAACGCCAGCGATGAACTTGGGGAGGGACGAGTTGGGTCGGCGGGTCAAGATGTACCAAAGGCCGACGAGGGCGAATCTTGGGCC